GAAGAAGAAGAAGAAGAAGAAGAAGAAGAAGAAGAAGAAGAAGAAGAAGAAGAAGAAGAAGAAAAGAAGAATCAGCTGGAAGCTGGAAGTCTTGCTAGCCAACCCTAACTTGTATGGCAACCCACACGTAAGTCTGACTGTTTGATGTGTGACTTCCCCACAGTGCCATCACAAGGACAAGAGCACTTCTTGATGGTTATAAAAGAGCAAGTGCCCTAGCCTATCAGCAGCCTAAAACACCTCCCCAAACCCATTCTACTGTAGTCAGAGTGATGGTTACGTAACTGCTCACCATAAGCAAGACTGCCATCTACTAGGGAATTCCTAGCTGTGAATCATAGTCCTAACTATGAAGAACCTCAAACCAAGGAACAAAACTATTCTGGTATAAAGACAACAGTGAGGCAACAGACAAGTTCTTAGTGAAATGGCTTTGCTCACCAATGACATAAATCTGGGTCCCGTTGCCCATGCCCACAAAGTATGGTGGTGGGTACATGAGTTCCACTTTGCAGAAGTACAGTCCAGTGTCGGCAGCTCTCAGTCCTTGGATGGTGAGGTTCACTTTGCTTTCATTGAAGGTACCACTACAGAAGGGATCATCTAGGAAGCCCAACTTATTCTTCATTGTGAATGTGGAGGCACAGACCTCAGTCATCATCTGGTCACTTGTCTGCCGCAGCACTGTCACCCGGACCTCATCAGTGTTGTGTGAAGATGTGTATTCACATGGAAAGCTGGCGACACCATGGCTGCTGGCCAATACCACCGAAGGCTGGGTCACATGTATGGCTGTCATGGAAAAGTCAAAGGGAACTCAATGGACTCATAGTCACTCATGGCTGGGACTGCTAGACCACACTTTATGGCAGGGGAGGTTTATCTTGTATGAGCTATAAGCTCACCCCTCAACAAATTCATCACACACACACACCCTTATTCTTTGCCTCTCCATCCATCTATCCTGGCACCCCACCTCCCATCTTTCAGCTGTCTTCAGTCACTCGCCAAGATTTCCTTACTGATAAATAGTTTCTTGAAGAGAGTTGGCCATAGCAAGGAGAACCATGGTGTATCAAATAGAAGACCTGGCTCTCATGAAATGTGTCATTTTGGCAAATCGTTCTTCCTTTCATTTTCCCTCTCAGGCAGTAAGAAAGAGGGGTGGGCTACACAACAGTGCAGTGTCGCCAGCCTTAGCATTCTATGGTGATGATAGGACTCTACCATGCAGGGAGGATAGTGGATAGAGGAAGTTTTAGAGCTTGGGGTGCAGAGCCTTGCCTCATCTCACAAAGCAAACCTCAAAACGCCCTGCCTGCTTATACAAGTCTACCTCTGTCAGTCAGGAGCAGTTGAACCTCAGCCCAATGCACTGGTTACCCTTTTCCTGGCCTCACAGTGGTAGAGTGGCCTGTGATGTTAGCCGAGGAAGCCACAGAACCTAAAACACCAGGTCGTTTCCTCTCAGGGTTGAGGCAACCCTGATGCTAACTTCTGTGGGCTTCCCTTCCTCTTCCGCCTTCCTTCTCTCCTTCACTTAACACACTTTCCTGGTCCTTTGGGTGGTTTTTTTTTTTTTTTTAAATCTTTCCTGTCTGTATACTATAAGAGAAAGGAGTCCATTTCTCTACATAAACATGCTTTCATCATTTGAAATTAGTGACTTTGCAGCCTGGTATTGGTCGTATTTATCTCTAATCCCAACACACAGGAGATGAAGGCCAACCTCAGCTAAACAACAAGACATTGTTTTAAAAAACCAAATTCCAATAAGCTAAAGGGCTGGAGTTATGGCCCGGTGGTAGAGCACTCATGTAAAGTATACAAGGCTTTGGGTTCTACCCTAGGCACTCAGTTTAAAAGTGGTCTTGTGTCATATTATATTTTCATAACTAACCTGGCTGCTATCTGGTCAATATTACAGATTACACTCAAAACTTAAACTGAACAGTGGCATTGGCAGTTCACTAACATCAACTGCAAAAACAAGACAATAACTAGTATTCAGTGTCCTCCATATTGCAATCTTGAATACTACTCCAAGCTTAGTTTCTAAGACCACCCCTCCTACCTACAAATCAGTCTATAGTAGATACACTAGTCTTTCTTGCAAGGACCTGTCCTGAGTAACATTTGTCCTCCGAAAAGATAACAATATGGCAGCAGCCATTGCCATGGTTATTTCGACAGCACGGTTGCCGAGGCCTGGCCCTCATCTCCACTCTCTGAGATACTCTCTGAGCATCCTTTGCCCCATGGAAACCCCACTAGAGGGTTTAAGGAAGTTGTCTCCCACATTAAAGCTTTCGTGACCTATTCAGACAAGAAACTGTACATAACTGTCGCTTCTTCGGTAAAAATTAAATCATCAAGTATCACTTAGGCATCAATTTCACACAAACTACATAATTCTTTAATTTAAAAGGTCCAGAGAGAGGAAGGGTGAGGGTCCAGTAGATATCTGCATTTCACGGCACATAACCAGCCTCTCTAGAGATTTTATTTCATTCAGAAATCATGGATTTGCACTTAAAATCCATACATAGGTAATGTAACAATTAGGGATTTTATGAAGAAAGAAAATAAAAAGAATCTTAGACCAAACAGACTCCCTCCTCCCTCCTTCCCTTCCTCCCTTGCTTCCATTTTCCCTTCCTTCCTCCCTCCTCCCTCCTCTCTCCCTTCCTACCATCTTCCTTTTCTTCTTTCAGTTTCGAACTATTTATCTTTAAATTAAACTATTCATCTTTAAAATAATTAGCTAATTTATTTTTCCTTCATTTATTTTTTATTATTTCCTTCATTTTTTTTGAAATTAGAATGCAATTACATTATTTCTCCTTTCTTCCCTCCATACCCTCCCATGCACCCCTCCTTCTTTTCTTTCAAATTCATGGCCTCTTTCTCATTATCTGTTGTGACATGCATACTTGCACGGGTATGCATTCTTAAATGCAAGCTGCTCAGTCTGTATATGTAATTTGCACTATGTGTTCAGGGCTGTCCATTTGGTATTGGAGAGCTAGTTGGTGTGCTGCTCTCCATATTCCTTAGTTGCCTGTAGTTATTTGTATGAAGTTGAGATCTTTCCCCCATACACTTGGGAATGTCTATTGCTCACGTCCTTGTTCAGTTCCTGTTTAGGCAGTCATGTTGGTTAGACTTTATGGGGGTAGCATCTGACATTCCTAGGAGACACAATCTCACCGTTAACTCCGTGTACCTCTGGCTCTCGCAGTCTTTCCGGCCCCTCTTCTGCTATGGCCCCTGAGCCTTAGGTGTGGTTACTCAAAGAACTACGAGTGTCTCAAAAACTTAAAGTGAGTGAGGAAAGAATTTTTTTATTTATTTAAATCTAGGTGTTTTGTTTTTGTTTTTGTAAGGAGGAAAATCTTAAGGTCACTCTGATACCAAGATCAAATATACTCAGGATTTTGGAAGCCTTTTCCCACACACACACACACTTAAATCTCTTAATTTTACAGTATTTCTTCCCAATGTTATACAAGTGTCTGAACTTGTTCTCCCCCAAACCAGCTCTCATGGCGTCATTAAACCCAGCTGTCTGGAATCCCAGCAATCTGCTGTGAGCAGCCTGTGCTCCATTGCGGCTGCTAGCTCACTCTCAACCTGTCTTGGAACACAGAGCTGTTAAGCCCAAAGGTAGAGATTTGCCTTTCACTTCTGGCTCTTCTATAAATCACTGTCCTTGGCTGCTGAAAGAAATGAAACCCGTGTAGGAAAAACACCTCCTCCACCTCCATGCTCCAGAAGCCTCCACTCACCTTTGGAGAAGGTCGGGATGGAGAGACAAGCAAGCAGGACCACAAAGGGCCAGTTCCTAGAAGCTAGCTGCAGTGGAACCTTGCACCTCGGGACTCCAAGACAAGCCATGGCTTTATGGGAACCGTGCTCAGATCTTCAGGAAGCGGAGTGAAACCTTTCAGGATCCTGAAGCGTTGAAATGTGTTTGAACCCACACAGATTCAAGGACTTTATATAGACAGCTTTGATCCCAGGTAGGTGCTACATGTGTGTACCACAAACACGGCACCTGAACAGAGGACCTTTTTGTTTTGGTTTTACGAGAAAGGAAGCCGTGGGTTTGAGCTGTTCCGTCCGACGACGTCGTCAAGACTCAAAGTAAAACTGACAAAACAAGCAGATCCAGGGCTGGAAAAATCTACTCAACTTGAAACTGAAGCTTCCAGTCACCTCCGAGGATTTGGATCCGTGGAGCCTTGGAGAGCAGAATTTCCTGTCGTACAAGGCGCCCCTCATCCCGATCCCAAGTTTATCCAGCCATCTGGTCACCTTTCACCGCCCAGTTCTTTTCCTTGACATCCTCACGGCAAGCCCGTAGTCCTAGGGCTGATGGCAGAATTTGTCTATGGAAGGCATCCACAAAAAATGTGTTCTAGCCGTGAGGGTCCGTCCCTCTGTGAGCCCCTCAGTACACAAAAGAGTTTATTTCACCTAACTGCATTTCATGGGGAGAAAATGCCAGAATCATAGAAATGAAACACACACACACACACACACACACACACACACACACACACACACACACACACACACACCAGGGAAAACTGCCTCTGGTTTTGCCAATTGGGAAAGAATTTGGTTGTTCTTAAAGCCTTCACAGAGGCAAAAGAAAGCTGTAGATGGCCCAGGAAAAGTCAACCCAAATGAAAAGACATTGAAAACCTCCATAGGAGGACGAATTTTTTATTTTTTTAATAGTAAGACTTTTGTTTTGTTTGTTTGATTGATTTGTTGGTTGGTTGGTTGGTTGGTTGGTTGGTTGGTTGGTTGGTTGGTTGGGGTTTTGGTTTTGGTTTGGTTTTTGGTTTTTTGAAACAGGGTTTGTCTATGTAGCCTTGTCTTTTTAAAGGATTAAAAACTCAAAACTAGGATGAAAATACAGTTCAGTAATGGAGACACAGCCCAGTGATGGAGATACAGCTCAGAGGTAGAGTACTTGCCTAGCATGCAGGAGGCCTTGGCTTCATTTCTACCACCACAAAAAAAATTTCGAAACTAAGGATAAATATGACCACAATTCTTAAACTCATGAAAGCTATAGAGAAGACAAACGTTCATCCATAAATACTATGATATTTTTTATAATATTAAATTATTCAGAATTTTTAGTATTTAGAATATTTAAGTATTACATATTAGTGCATATTAAATATTTAGGATGCTTAGTACACACATATTTAGAATACTAAACATTGAAGGCTCTCCTCATATCTGGGCAGTTTTCATATAGTTCAAGGATGAAAGGGATGTTTTTTAAGAATCTATAACATGCTAGGAAATGTGTGCACTTAGGATAACAAGATAAAAACATGGCTGATTGCCTGGCATGGCAGAGCGTACCTTTAGCCCTAGCACTTGGAAAGCAGAGGCAGGTACGTGTTCCCGTGTTTCTGTGGTTTCCTGCCATCTCTACGCCCCATCAGAGGAGGCTCTGTAGAGGAGGGACCGTGTTTCCTTTAGAGCCTGTCTGCCAGCGTTCTCTCTCACGTGCCTTTCTTTCCGCATGCCATTCCCCCACACGCTTCTTGGAGGTCTTATCACATTTACACAGGCTTCCTATGCCTTCTCTTCTCCCATTATTTAATTTTCTCCTCTCCACATCCTCTAGTATTTTTACTAAGTCACCAAAACCCTAAGAAGCCTGCTGAGCTGTGTCTCTTTCCTACATTTCCCTAGCACTTTAGAGAAGCCCACAAGCCCCAATTCATATGCCAAGAAGCAATGACAACTTAATCGCATTTATTATGGGCCGCGTCCCAGACTGGACACTTAAGACTTTAAAAGTGAATATATATATATACATGATCCTGTCCTCTATGTGAGTTCCCAGCAGTGGCAAGGACAGATAGCTCATCATAATCATGGCAGAGTGAGAATGAGATAGATAATAAGAGTTGAAGTATTACACAAGCTATAGAGGAGCAGAAGCCATTGGTTCAGCCGTGGACATCAGGAAAGTCTTCTTGCAGGAGGGAAATCCTGGGCTCATTATTAATGAAAAAAGGAAGGGGTGAGTGTATTCAGACAAAAAGAACAGTATTTGCCGGAGGACCTGGGAGGAACAATACCTCTGCAAGAGCCAGTGACACACGAAAAGCCATCAGCACAACTAAGTCAAACTTCATTAAGCTTTCTTCTGGTCCAGAAAGAAAGGGAGGATAGATTCAATGAGTGAGATATAATCAGACAGGGTTCTATAAGACAAATTGCTAAATGGTCTTATTAATAAAAAACCTGGGTATAGGAGATCTACTTCCTGTACCCACGCCTATATCTTTTCTGTGCCTGGCATCTCACGTCCCCTCTTCATCCAGCTGTATCACTTCCTCTTTCTGCCCAGCTCTATCACTAAAAAGGGGAAATGCTGTGGGATGATGCTCTTGCACACTGGTTTAATAAAATGCTGGTTGGCCAGTAGCCAGGCAGGACATATAGGTGGGGCAAACAGACTAGGAGAATGTCAGGAAGAGGAAGGGCAGAGTGAGGAGTGGCCAGACACAGAGGAAGCAAGATGACAAGGCAGAACTGAGAAAAGGTACCAAGCCACATGACTGAACATAGGTAGAAGTTATGGGTCAATTTAAGTGTAAGAGCTAGTCAGTAATAAGCCTGAGCTAATGGCCAAGCAGTTATACTTAATATAAGCTTCTGAGTGATTATTTTATAAGCGGCTATGGGATCGTGGGCAGGCAGGACCAGAGAAAACTTACCACTACAGGGGTCTGCTGCAATAACCCAAGCAACAAGAATTCTCAAAGTTTTCATGTAAAGAACATGTAGTAAATATTTTCTGACTTGCAGACCATGTGGTCTGTTGCCACTACTTGGTTCTTCAAGTTTAGACCATGCTTAAACAAATGTGTGGCTGCTTTCTAATAAAGCTTTATTCATAAACACAAATGGAGGCTGGACTTGGCCTGTGGACCATAGCGTTTTAGCCCCTTGTCTAACAAAGGTAATGACAGCTTTGGAGACTAATCTATAGTCATTGAATAAAGGGAGTGATTTCACAGGGCACAAGATTTATGGTTTGGGGGGAAGGAACTATGGTCCTTAATTTCTTTTCCAGTTGCTGTGACAAAATACCCTGACCAAAGTAACTTAAGGGAAAGCAGATTTATTTGGGCTCACAGTTCAAGGCTCACAATTCAAGGTTCCATTATAGTCCATTACCGCAGGGTAGTCAAGGCAGCAGGACCCTGAAGTGGCTGCTGTTCACAGTTAACCTAATCAACACAATCCCTCACAGGCATGCTCTGAGACTAAGTGATGTGCCCAGATGTGCCCAGATGTTTGCCTTCTAGGTGATCCCAGACCCCATCACGTGAAGATTAACACTAACCATCACAAGTGTAGTGATCAGAAATTGTCAACCCTATCTCACTCAAGTCTCATAATAACCATACAAAATAAGGGTCATTACTTTTCCCAGTTAATAAAGAAATAAAGCAAGGCCTTGAGAGTTAGCTGATTTATCATGTCCCCTAAAAAAGGAGACATAGAAGTCAAAGAGAGCTGAATTCAAATCCTACCATGGAGACTTGAGAGCCTACTGTCCCCTAGGCCATGGCCTCTACTTATCAAGATGCCTTCAAGGGTAATGCTGTCACATGGAGAATGATGGCTAGCAACTCAGTAAGCAGGAATCTTCTACTCTAGGATCACTGAGAAGACAAAAGTGCAATTATTGGAATAAAGAAGATGGAAAAGTGAATCATGGCTTCCATTTGAGCACATTAAGCCTAGGGCATCTGTAGAACGATCCAAACACAGTTTCCAACAGGAATCCTGAGGGAAGAGGTATGATCCCAAAGACATTACCTTAAACAACTATGAAAACACTCGTCAAGGTGTGAAATGAACTCTGGAAATGTTTGATGAATGTATTAAAACAGTTTGACCTTGGAAAAGATGAAGGGTGGTAATAAGAACTTTCAAAGATGTCTTACCGGGTTTTCAAATTTTGCTTTTATGAAACTCTCTTTGTCACTGCAAGAAAATTCAATGACTATAAAACAGCATGTGTGGAAGACTGTTGATGAAAAGATATTCATATATATCACTCACTAGATGACTGGACTGGTACACTGGTAAAAGGTAGCTGAGTTTAGTAGATCGTGCAGTCCACTCATGATGGAACGTTCTGAAATCATGCCTCCAGATACAGGGAATTGAGAAGGCCGCAACACCTCTGCAGCAAGATTGCCAGGATGTTTGCATTGAGTCTAACCCTGGAGAAGTTATCAGTCAAACCTGTGCCTCACAAAACTCTTGGCCTGGAATTGTGCTTCCTTTGAAAAGTTAATATCTTGGAAAATACTAAAAAGAAAACCCTGGAAAACAATTCTAGACTAAAGAGGAAGATGAAAACATGCTAAGGGTTGGATGTGTGAGCCTTGATCATGGGCACCACTGAGAGACATGAGGAAATGTAAGAAGGAACTGTACAGTAACTCTATTTTACTATTAACTCTTAGGATGTCAGCAAGTAGCTCAGAGTTGACTGAGCACAAATCGTGTGTGTGTGTGTGTGTGTGTGTGTGTGTGTGTGTGTGTGTGTGTGTGTGTTCATGAAACCATTTCTAAACATCCTTTGTTAAGTTGGAAGGTTTCTAACATAAAGCGTTAGAAGCAGGAATGAGAAGGTCAGCCATTAAGGTGGTAAGCAATATGCCACCTCAGAAATAACAGAACATAGAGAGGACGAGTTGCCTGCTCAGGGTTACTCCCGTCCTCTTTCCCCAGACCCCTGTTTCCCCTGGAAGGCAGGGCCTTGTGTCTACTGACCCTGTTACATTGGCATCTGGAGTATTCAGGCCAGAATGAGATTTTTCCTCTCTGCTGTCTCCCAGATCCATGCCCTGGGTACAGTAGTAACAGTACCTCCCATGTCAAGTGACCTCTGTTCTCTGATGTCATTTCTCCCTGAAACCTAATTGCGCTCCCCTCACCAACTGGGTCCCTTTAGTCTTAAAGCTGATACCCTGCTTCCACTGTGGCTAGTGTCGGGGTGCATCGCCCCTGCCCTCCTTAGTATCTCTCAAGGGAGTCTTTCATTGACTCTCTAATTTGAACCACCTGCTTCTTGTCAAAACCCTGATCAATCTGGCAGTACCTATCATGCAGAAGACACTGGATTTAAATATTTGCCCCTCATTTCTATCCAGCACATATTTCTCCTATTACACTATATACAGCAATAACACATGACATGATGTGGCTTATATTTATGCTAATCGCCCCTGTAGAATTCTGTCTCCCCTACATTGTATCTATTTCCAGGACACTTGCAGACATACCTCACATGTAGTAGCCCACCAGGGCCCCCTTGTATGTAGATGATAGAGAACTTCTGTGTTTCAACTTAGCCCTCAAGCCTCATTATTTCTCTTAATCTCATTCAGCACTGAGGACTACTAATAATTAAAGGGACAGTTGGAAAGTTGACAAGCCCTGAAGAGT